AAGTCCACCTGCATAGCGTTGTTACCTTCATCTTCCCAGCTCCTGCACTGTAGAGAAGAGATCCAGTGTCATCGGCACGTGTGCATGGTGTTGGTTGAGGGTAAAAGCTTCCATGTTTTGTAACGATGTAATTAAGGAACCTTGAGAAGCGTGCCTCCCCTCTCCTGAGAGCAGCCGCCAGATCTCCTGATTTGTCTGATCAGCCTTCTGCAGATGGCTCCATGCTACAGCCGTGTGTATACACTGCCGGAACCAACTAAGATCTTAATCACATGGCTTAAGAAGGGAATGCTGTTCCAAGTCTCATAAAAATTCCCAAACCCTCCTTTCAATATATGCCTGAAGGCCAACTGCCTGATCCCTGAATAGTCCAGAAAGATGAGACTTAGTAGTTCCCTGTCATAAGCTCTGTCCAGCAGCAAACTGGGCACCTCCTGAGAGTGAGCACCCCAGCTCTGCCAGTGGCACCCAGATGTGCCCTCTGCCAGTTGTTTTCATCAGTTCATCTTCCTTCCATCAACAGCAGAGAGATGATACTTCAGAACCCAAGGGAATATAGGATTAGGGTCATAATTTCAGTGGGTCAAATTTTCACACATTATCAGCATGTGGAATCATACCATCGTGCATGATTTCTTTCAGGCCTGAAACCTGAAGGTCAGTGCCACTTGCCTTGTGTGTACCAACTCCTAGATAAGGTTGTTGCCTCCTTGGAAGCAACCAGGAGCAAAGAGGGTATTACTTCTGACCTTTCCCAGGTCTTAGTCCCACATGGCACACTCCTTTCTGCCCCCCCTCCCCCCAGTGTATGATTCAGCCCCATCTAGAGCAAACTATAGAACCAGGTAGTTATGTGTTTAAGTGTGATGAAAAAATATCCTTCAAAATGATCCACCCAAAACAGTTCATTCAAAATACAAGACTGTTATCCCAAGTTGTCACTAATATTGTATTTTGCATTTGTTTATCATGCCTTTAGGCCATTCCTGACCAGTGAATTTTAGCCTAGATATGTCTGCTTCCCTCAGAACAGTGGAACACAGTTCCATTAACATCAGTGAAATAAAACTGTGTGCTATTTCTAGTTACTTCATTCCACTTTAGCTTCATGATCATTACCTTTTTAAATAACATTTTTATGGGTCATTAGTTTTGTGGAAGATTCTCCACCACCCATCCCCTCTTATTTTTTCTCATTATCAGAGCCTTACTTGTTAAAAAATAGAAAGTAAATAACAATGATGACTTGTGGTCACAGTTTCATAAACATATAGCTTATAGCTTCACATTGGTACCTGGATATTTGCTTTACAAGTACAGTGAGTGAGTTTAATGATTCCTAAAAATGGAAAGACAATGTAACCTACTCAAGATGGAGCTAAACCAATATTTAGAAAGCCTCTGCCTGCAGGTGTGATGGGCGCTTGCTTTCTGTTTCATGCATTTGGAGGTATTACAGCTTGCCTGAAGTGCACCAGAGATAGGTTCCTGGGAGGGACACCTGTGGCAGTTCAGAGTGTACCCATTGTATCAGAGCAAGCCTTGACCCAGAGCAGACATAGACGGGGAATTCATTGCACTCCAGGTGTCCTGCTTACCAGTGTTCAAGGGATTCCCCCCAGACCTCAGCAGTTTCCTCTTCTACTGAACTGTTCTGGATTTCCCAATTGACAATTAATTAATTGTCAATTAATTAATTGTAATTTTATGAGAACCCTTCCAGCATTGACTTTCATTGTGACTTAATGTTTCATTGTTTGATACCTCTTCTACAAAGCCGAATTGTAGGTTTCTTGAGCATAAGGCTGAGTCTTTTTCTTATCCATTCCTCACGGTTCTAGGATTGGAATCCCAGCTCTGTGACCTTGGATGAATTCCCTCATTTCTTTCTCAGTTTCTTTGACTATAAAATAAAAGCAATCATGCCTGCCTTGCAGGGCATTATGAGAACCAGCTAGCACAGCGCTGGGCCCCAGGAGGTGCTTGGTGAATGGTGACTTTGCCTCACTAGACAGAGCCTGCACACAGAAGCTGAGCAATTGAATATGACAAAGCAGGATTAAACTCGTGGGAGAAGAGCTAGTTATGGACTCGTGAAATTTCATGGCGAGGGCACCATTTCCCCTGACCGTGGGCTTGAAGGACAGTTTACAACCCTGTTTTTGTTCATGACTCTGTCATGACCATCTCACAATCATTTCAAGCTCATCATGTCTCCTAAATCCAAAAGGATTGGTGATTTGATTTGGGATGTACAGACTGTGCTCATTGGCATCCTCGGTCATTTAAGCATCGGCTCTTCCCTGAGTGGAGAAGCTTTCTCTAGCTCCTTGGAGCCATGTGGCAAGTGGTGATGCCTGGGACTGGTCCATTGATCCCTGTGGGTGCCTCTGACTTACTTTAGAATTGTCTTTAAAAGAAGCCACAGTGGGGGACAGTGGTTGGGCCTACTGAGACCAAGAGCATAAAAATAAAAAAGAAATAGTGATAAGGGTGAGAGTATGAGAAGGTCTGAATAGAAAACATAAATAGCATTGAGATGAGTTTCCCCCATTTCCCATATAGTGAGCATATCTTCCAAAACTCAAAATGTGCATTATCCACTCAGCAACTTGCAGATTGCCTAGGAGCAAAGATGCTTCTTATGGAGAGGTCACCTCGGCCCTGATTCTGCCATTCCTCTTTGTGATGGAGCTGTGTCACAATGAAGAAATGGATCGTGTGACATTCTCATTGCCTTCTTTGTTTGCTTATAAATATGTACTTCCTTGCCTTGCATCCCTTTTAAAGGTTCCTGAGAGAAATGTCCGTAAGACAGATATAGTAAGTACTACATTTGTTGAATCTATTATGATGTGTGCTTACTAGGACACAAAAGTGTAGGTTAGATGAGCACCTTTTTAGTACTAGTAATAGGGGACTGGACAAATAAGGACTCTTGCCTGCTTGGTTTGGTTGATAGGGTTGGTATGCTGGTTTACACAATGCTTTGCTCAAAAAGTAATTTGAGAGAGCACTTACCAGTGTTATCACCTTTCTGAACACTGTAGTTGTATGTTAGAGGCACACTTAGACTTATGACAGATTCGGTAATATACAAGCTTTTTTCAGGCATATATCACATTACAGACCCTAGTTAGATGCAGAGTTACAATGAGAATTGAAACAATCCCTGGTCTGAAGGACCTTTCTGTCCTTATGGTAGAAACAGACCCAGTTAAATATAACAGCAGTGAGATGGCAATGATTGCCCTTGTAGAACTCTAATGTGGGGCTAACAGTCATGGTTTTTGTTATTTCTTTTTTAACCAAATATCTCAGGACTCATTAACTGACATAGTTTTTTATTTGGAATTTTATTTGAAGTACTTCAAAATTCTTAACAATTATAATCCCATTCAGTTATGTATCTAAGAAATTTCCCTTACGAGAAAGACTGCAGCGATATAAAATCAGTGCTGCCCTGGAGAATCCACAACATTCCCTCACTCTGGCTGTGGAGGCTGAGAGGATGGCGTCATTCCTTCTCTCTAGGAGGTTTGGAGAGGGCTCCCAGAGGAGTTGATGTCTGAGTTGAATCGTGAACAGCAGATATAAGTCCGCATAAGAGTTTGGCTCTGTGTGCTGTGGTGAATTTAATACTTGTAGAAGTCAGACACAAAGCTTGCCAGTTCCTCTTGCTCTGCACTTATTCCCGTAGCAGATATTTTTAAATCACTCCTACAATGGCTTCCAGCAAGGACCCCATGATTGCTACTTTTACCTGATTTGTACACGATTTGTAGACCTGCCTCCCCTCCCAGTGGGGTCAGCAGTGCTTACAAGAACCTAGAGGATGCATGGTTTTACATAGAGGNGTTGCTTCTTTTACTTCTCAGATTTTCATTACCTAGTTGAAATGTTTTTGTGCACTACAAACACTTAGACAATAATATCAGAATCATATGTTTTGGCATAATGGTCTCTCCACCCTAATGAATCCCATATAGCAAAGCATAAATACCCAGTTAAAGTCCTTGGAAATGAGGGATCAGCTATTTTAGGCTGTGTTCATTTCTTGGATAGTGTGTGTGTGTGTGTGTGTGTATGTGTGTGTGTGCGCCCACGCACGCGTACACACAAGCTGTGCATAAATAGCACATTTTCAATCTTTGTAAAATATAATGGATGAGCAGCACATGACAGTAGGCTTAGCCCCTGATTTACCAGGAAAGAAGACAGCTGCATGGCAGAGCTGCTGCTTATAATTAGGGAAGGACTAGCCCATGTCCTGTGCCACTCAGCAGCTTCAACCATTCAAATGACAGCCAGTTTGTTTAGTTCTATAACCCCTATTCTTTATGGGCTAGGAGTTAATTTCTTGCTGAGAACACTGCTTTGGATTGTCATCTCCAGTATCACTGTAAGATCAGGTATGACGTGATGACTGAAAAGTCCCAACTAGAAACCATGATGAATGAGCAAAATAGGAGTTGCTTTCACTGCCCCTTTTTCACTTGTGAGGAAAAACTATTTTGAAACCCTGCAGGCTTTCCGTTTTTAACAGGACCTATCGCCAGTTGTCGGCTAACAAGAAAACTGTAATGCTGTCCTCGGCTCGAGGCAGCTGCGAGAAGTGTCAGAGCACTCCTGACGCAGAATGGCTCTCAACAGGCCCGGCTGGGAGGGAAATTAATAGGCGTCCCATTGTTACCGTGCATTTGCGCCAGGATATTTCATTAGTGTAAACACTGAACCCGTGGTCGTCTTGTTTAGCCACTTGACCCTGGTGATTTTCAATTCTGTGCGCCCCTGATGAAATCGAGCAGCGGCGTGCACGAGACAGGCACTAATTACCGGGAGCAGGGCCCTTGCTGACCCGGCACAGACGGGCTGCTCCTCTGCAGCCTTTGTTCCGGCCGCTAGCGCTGTCTGGTTATCTAGCTTCAGCCCCTCGAGGGGCTGGAGACGATGGCCGCGCTGACGGTAACCTCACGGCAGTCTCCCTGCTTGTTTTGCAGGTCACGGCGCGGGGCTTCGGGCCGCTGCTGCAGTTCGCCTACACCGCCAAGCTGCTGCTCAGCCGCGAGAACATCCGCGAGGTCATCCGCTGCGCCGAGTTCCTGCGCATGCACAACCTGGAGGACTCGTGCTTCCGCTTCCTGCAGACGCAGCTCCTGAGCAGCGAGGATGGCCTGTTCGTGCGCCGCAAGGACGCCGCCTGCCCGCGCCCGCACGAGGACCGCGGCAACTCCGCGGGGGAGGAGGAGGAGGAGGAGGAGGAGACCATGGACTCGGAGACGGCCAAGATGGCCTGCCCCCGGGGCCAGACGCTGCCGCGCCCCGTCGGCTTGGAGGCCGCCGCCGCCCCAGGAGCGCGGAAGGAAGAAGCCTCGCTGCCCGAGGCCGACGGGCCCGCCGACGCCAAGGAGAGCTCCGAGAAGGACGCGCTGACGCAGTACCCCCGGTACAAGAAGTACCAGCTCGCGTGCACCAAGAATGTCTACAACGCGGCGTCCCACAGCCCCTCGGGTTTCGCCGGCGCCTTCGGCGAGGACGGCTCCGGCGGCAGCCTCAAGCCGGGGCTTGCGGTGGGGCAGATTAAGAGCGAGCCTCCGAGCGAGGAGAACGAGGAGGAGAGCATCACGCTCTGCCTGTCCGGAGACGAGCCCGACGGCAAGGACAGAGCCACGGACGTGGAAATGGACCGCAAGCAGCC